TCTATCTATCTATCTGATATGAGGACAGATTGCTCCTGATTTAAGTCTCACTTTATTAATTCTGAACTAATCACAAAAATCCTAACTGACATATTTTTGCAATTTTGAGTCAGATGAAGTGTCTTCTTTTAGTTTACCACAAGAGGGCAGACACGGACCTTGTTGGGAGCCTACACATGCACCATATACAGGTGCTGGTCATATAATTAGAATATCATCAAAAAGTTGATTTATTTCAGTAATTCCATTCAAAAAGTGAAACTTGGATATTATATTCATTCAGTCATTACACACAGACTGATATATTTCATGTTTATTTCATTTAATTGTGATGATTAAAACTGACAACTAATGAAAATCCCCAAATCAGTATCACAGAAAATTAGAATATTGTGAAAAGGTTCAATATTTAAGACACCTGGTGCCACACTCTAATCAGCTAATTAACTCAAAACACCTGCAAAGGCCTTTAAATGGTCTCTGTCTAGTTCTGTAGGCTACACAATCATGGGGAAGACTGCTGACTTGACAGCTGTCCAAAAGACGACCATTGACACCTTGCACAGGAGGGCAAGACACAAAAGGTCATTGCTAAAGAGGCTGGCTGTTCACAGAGCTCTGTGTCCAAGCACATTAATAGAGAGGCGAAGGGAAGGAAAAGATGTGGTAGAAAAAAGTGTACAAGCAATAGGGATAACCGCACCCTGGAGAGGATTGTGAAACAAAACCCATTCAAAAATGTCGGAGATTCACAAAGAGTGGACTGCCGCTGGAGTCAGTGCTTCAAGAACCACCACGCACAGACGTATGCAAGACATGGGTTTCAGCTGTCGCATTCCTTGTGTCAAGTTCACACTCTTGAACAAGACACAGCGTCAGAAGCGTCTCGCCTGGGCTAAAGACAAAAAGGACTGGACTGCTGCTGAGTGGTCCAAAGTTATGTTCTCTGATGAAAGTAAAGTTTGCATTTCCTTTGGAAATCAAGGTCCCAGAGTCTGGAGGAAGAGAGCACAGAATCCACATTGCTTGAAGCCAAGTGTAAAGTTTCCACAGTCAGTGATGGTTTGGGGTGCTATGTCATCTCCTGGTGTTGGTCCACTGTTTTTTCTGAGGTCCGAGGTCAACGCAGCCGTCTACCAGGAGGTTTTAGAGCACTTCATGCTTCCTGCTGCTGACCAACTTCTATGGAGATGCAGATTTCATTTTCCAACAGGACTTGGCACCTGCACACAGTGCCAAAGCTAGCAGTACCTGGTTTAAGGACCATGGTATCCCTGTTCTTAATTGGCCAGCAAACTCGCCTGACCTTAACCCTATAGAAAATCTATGGGGTATTGTGAAGAGGAAGATGCAATACGCCAGACCCAACAGTGCAGAAATGCTGAAGGCCACTATCAGAGCAACCTGGACTCTCATAACACCTGAGCAGTGCCACAGACTGATCGACTCCATGCCACGCCGCATTGCTGCAGTAATTCAGGCAAAAGGAGCCCCAACTAAGTATTGAGTGCTGTACATGCTCACACTTTTCATGTTCATACTTTTCAGTTGGCCAACATTTCTAAAAATCCTTTTTTTGTATTGGTCTTAAGTAATATTCTAATTTTCGGAGATACTGAATTTGGGATTTTCATTAGTTGTCAGTTTTAATCATCACAATTAAATGAAATAAACATTTGAAATGTATCAGTCTGTGTGTAATGACTGAATTAATATAATATCCGAGTTTCACTTTTTGAATGGAATTACTGAAATAAATCAACTTTTTGATGATATTAATTATATGACTAGCACCTGTATGTCCAAATAACGTTTTAGATCATTGTTTCTTCACATAGCCTACAATCAGTAGCCTAACATAGGAAACGTGAACGATAACGTAGGCTGACTGAACTTTTGAGTTACTGCTCATCTTCTATTTTTGATACTGAGACTTAGCCTACAAAGTTTTGTGCATATTTCATTTTTTTAAATAATCATCTGAAAATCTGCTGCTCGTTGGTGCTCTTTATTTATCAATATCAAAAAAGCTCAAGCTTTTTTTATCCAGTTTTTCATCTCAAATTGATAGACTAGTATATAGAATTAACCTACGAAAAAGGACTAGCCTACATTGAATTTTCTTTTGTTCGATGCAGGTTCAATCTTCTTGCTGATCTGCAGAACTGAAGGTTACAGTGACCCGAACATCATGTCCACTATTAATTGGTGAAACACCTGTAACATCCATTTCCTGCCACAATAAATGGCGCTCATGAACGTCCCCACCTCTCCCCGACGCTACCCGACCACGCCTTTTCAGTAAAGTTTATTGGGGGAAAACGGTGGCTTTTTCATGCTTTGGAACAGCGTTTTAAGTCGGACAGATGTGAATTTATTGGATCCCGTCACTCACTCCCTTACTCGCCCATTAGTTAAGTGACAGGACAGGGCCCGGGGAAACCTGCACCAATACGTGTGATTACGTTAAAAGATCGCACAATCTGTTCATATTTACGTAATGAGCCCGACATTTTGCTGATTGATTAAACTACAGGGTGTAAATATTTTAAGGGCGCCCTGATTTATAATCCAACAAAGCAAAAAGAGGCCGATTTATTTGTCCAACTATGAAAATGGGAGTTTCTGGTAACTGCTCTGTGTTTGAGGGCCGAGCTGACATCTCAGGGGTGACTTGAGTGATTCAATAGACAGTGAAATTTTTTTTATAGAAAGACACTAGCTTCACTATGCATTATTGGTTAAAAAAAAAGACAGAGCTATAAAGGTTGTCAGCACTTTTGTTGGGGCTGGCTGTTGAGAAAATTGACAGCATTATCAGCAGTGGCCTAACTGTAATTTACGCAGGGATTTTTTAATCAACATGACTGGTGTATTCAGATTAAATTAGAAGAGAAATGGAATCAATGACCTCCATATATTGCTCTGCTGCCTTATCAATTAGCTGTGATTTTTGTACTGTGTCAGAGGGGCCTGTGTCATAAAACGGGCCAAATGGCATTTGTCATACAGCTGACAAGTCACACAACTAAATGAGCTCCTATTGATTCGCATGAGTTTTCATCAGCCAAATTAAAAGCTGTGGTTTGATAGAGGTCCAGTCTGCAGGCTTGTTGTGTTTTCTGTTCTCCCCTATTAAAACAAGTCTAAAAAATTCAATGAATGACTCCTTTGAAGTCCTTTAAGTTAGAAGTATAGCTGGTAGCGTTGTTTTGATGAATTGAGATTATTTGATGATGCTGTTGCATGCGTTTGCAGCTTCAGATTAATCAGTTAGTGATAGGCCTTCACCAGATTGGTTAAAGCTGTGCTGTCACATAAAGGATTACATGTTCAGCTGTTAAAATATAAACAAAGTTACTGCAGAGCATTTCTTTTTATGTAAATCTTCATTTTCCCATCCCTCTGTTGCTCTATCTGAGGTTTCTTCCTGTCTTTTCAATATAAAGTGTATTATGTTAGCACAGATTGTAGCGCTCTTTGAGGTATTACACCGTATTCTGTGACATAAATAGGAATTCAGTATTAATGCCACTGAAAACATGTTTCATATACATCCTTTATCCTTTCATTTCACAGAATCTGACAGGTCACAAATTTACATCCTTAACAAAATTTGGAAATTAGGCCAACTTCTGTTGCAGAGACTCATAGATATGAATAGTGTCATAAAATTTTGCTATGCAAATGGTGTAAAAACATTTCTGAAAACAAGAGCCCCTCTTTTTTATACAACCATGAGACTCTTATCATTTTCTTATTGTTTCTGAGCTGAACACATCATTCAGCTTGACCTGCAACCATGACCCAAAGTATCTGCTAAAGGTCCCGTCGGTGTCAAGAGGCACTACTGCGCAGCCCTGCTTTGTTTGTGTATGTGCAGCCAGTTAAGAATGCATTTAATCACTATATAAGCATGTGACTGTGGTCTGAGAAGGGGCTAAATGACACCATACTGCGTGTCCTCCAATCTCCTCTTTAATCACAACCCTTACATGGCTGCCCAATAAAATGCCCCGCTGCAGTTACACACACTCATCATGCTGTTGCTCTTGGAAATTAAAGTGGGCCTGTGTGACATCACCATCAGGCTTTTGATTGCTTTACTTCCTCTTCATTAACTTAATTATTTGGCTATCAGTAAACCCCACCGAGTAATTAATATCTGAGAGCCTATGTAATAAATTAAAACTGTGAGAATGACTTTTGCTTTGCCTAGCAGACGCAGCGCAGTGAAGGAGATGAAAACACAAAGTTTTTTTCTTTTCCATTATCACATACTGTTAATGAAAACATGGACCTTTGTGGCATTTCTGTCTTTTGATCACAACTCACAAGATTGTTTCAACGTAATTTTTGATGGAGAACGGCCCGTCACTTTGGTCCATACTAAAATTCCAGCTATTGGATGCATTGCCATGAAATTTAGTTCAGACATTCATGATCTTTTTCTCTAGCACCAGCAGGTTGATGGTTCTGAGAGAAATTTCTCTACAACTACTTGATGGATTGCTATTAAGGTATTAAACATTAATGTCCCCTGACTTTTCAATTGGCTCCATCGGACATGATTGTCTTATTCTTTGGTTTATGACAATATTATGACAACAAAAATGACATTCCCATCAACCTCAGCTGCACTTTGAGAAGCAAATTAGCAAATGTTGGCATGCTTAACTCAGATGGTGAACAAGATCAACATTATTCCTGCTTTGTTAACATGCTGATGTTTGCATTTAGCTCAAATGTGTATAGACTTTTATAGTCTTCTTTGTTCTTTTCTTCTTCATCTTACAATATAGAAGCATTTTAAGGAGAGCAAGACAACATCATTCAACCCAGAAAAAATGGGTCAGTTTTACCTTAAAGACCAATGGCATTGATCTAATGTAGGCCTAATGGCTGCCTGTTTCATGCTGCTCCTGTGTTGTTGTTATACTCATTGATATATGATGGGACATATTAAGCAGGGACATTCAGTTTTTTCTTTTTTACTTATTTCTTTATTTCACAGTTACACCACAAACAAGTTTCAGATAAATACATGTATGATTTATCTTTGAAAACGTTCAAATAAATTAAGTTAATTTACATGTAAGTGAAAGAACAAAGAACAAATTCATAAACACCATCAAGAACAAAAAAACTGCATTCACAAAAAAAACTGTATTCACATAAAAAGGCCAAATGTAAATAGGCTACATGGGATGTTCTGCAAAGTATTTGCCCAAAAACATCCAGAGCAGCAGATGCTTCTAAGCTTGTATTAGATCACACAGCTTGTTCAGCTTCATGATGCAGTGGAGGCTGCGCCTACTGTACATTCTCACGCTGTCTGAATGCACGACTTGTCTTACTTCAGATCCTTCGTTAACGTAGTCATGTGTGTTCACTGGGTGGAGCTCCAGCTGTCAGTAGATGGAGCAAAGACAAGGTGACCAGAAGGTGATTGGCAGATACCCATAAAACCAGCTTAATTTAGGGAGGAAATGAGCACCTTTTTTTTCAGCATGCTACGAAATGTACAGTACTTAGAGATGATTTTATTAACAGACAGTTTATACAGTATATTTGTGTCATAATCCTGTGTGTGTTTGGTAGCTGTGTGAATAATTAGTAATTCCAACAAAGGTCCTGATTGGGATACTTAAACATTCACAGAGCACAGCAGACAAAGATCTTCTTCTCTAGTGACCACAAACACAGATATGTCCCAGTGTAATGTCTCTGTAACACACAGGAAATCAAACCAGTGTTTCCTGGGTGTACTTCACAGTCCTGCCCCAATCTTTCTGTCACTTGCTCCTACTTGCACCCCCTCTAGCTCCTCATCAGAGAAAGGGCTGTGGGGATTGTAGCCAACGTTGGTGCTGCACTGCAAAAAGTCCGTGGATTGTGGCATCTCAGTGCCATTACCCAAATCAGCAGGAAAACCGTGCTGGGCCTCATCCTCTTCTTCATCCTCCTCGTCCTCCCCTTCCTCCTCTTCGCCATCCTCCAGATCAAGATCCATCCCCCTGTCGTCTGGATTCACAGCTCGCCTGCTCTCAGTAGATTTGTCAGTGACTGTTTTCCCCCCGCTGCGTAGTCGCTGTGTCTCAGATTGGGCCGAGGAGGTGGCCTGTTCCTTTGCCTTCCGACTGCGTTTCCACTTCATCCTTCGATTCTGGAACCAGATCTTGACCTGCAGAGAGGATAGAAAAAAGGAAAGAAAATGTTTTCAAAAGATGGTCAAGTTTAAGGAAACATTTTTGTTATTACGTCAATCATTTGCAGCTCAGAACAGAAGTCATTCTTAAAACTACCCTCCTTAGTTGCTCTTCCTTCTTTTTTTTTTTTTCCAGTTTTGCCAACGCTGTTCTGATTGCAAAAGCCTCAAAGATAAACCAGTGATGTTTCCTTTAATAATGCTGAATAAAAATCTGTAAAAAACACTTTAATATTCACTTTCCTTTCCCCATTGACACTGAAGGAAAAAAAACATTCTTCAGTCAAATCTGATTCAAGAAGTGCAGAACCTACAACACAACTCTATAAAACAACTATAACTAATAATAAAAGTCCTGCTCTCGTTCTTTAAGCACCCTTAAACAATGTACCAATGTGGACTCGAAGCAACATGAAATACATCACTATTTATGATCAAATAATTCATCAACTCTACCAGAATTATTAAGGAATATCTGGCTACAATGAAAATAGATACACAAAACATAATTTTAATCTTACACATAAAATGTAGAGAAAGCAAAATGCACTAAAGGCTTTGTTCAGTTCTTTGGGAGATAAACTCACCAGTTCAGACTCTTGTGTATATACAGTATTGTGGCCTCCACATGACTTGTTAGTAATGTATTTCAAATAATATATTGACTCCTCTTTGTTAAATCTGTAGATAAGGTGACTTTTTAGCACACATCAGTCACAATTTGTTGAGCAATTAATTGATTTTGCACAGCGACACTATTTGCTGGCAATGGCCACTATATGCTATGGAAAAGAATGGATTGTTTTTACTTATTTTCATGGTTTAGACAGTACATAAATTGGTTTAAGACGCCATTTATGATGTTTTATATGATGAAATCTTTCAAATGATTGTATTGGAAATGTCATTAATGATTCATGAAATGTTATTCATCACATTTCTGTTTCAGTCTGCATTTGTCACATATTTGTCGAATGTTCATATTATAACTCACAGCTGAAAAAGAGATTGCTGATTTCCCTGCTAGGCTTTCCCGGTTAAATAAAAAAAACAACTAAGTTGATTAAAAGTCTGTTACTTAACAGGAGATAACCAAGAAATATGCTTGCTCTTAGTTACTAAAGAATAAAATCCAGTTGTCCTGTTGAGTGTGCTGTCTGCAGATGCAATTTATAATCACTTCATTGTTCATTGGTTCTCGCCTCATTCTTGTTTCTGTAGTTGACCTTTTTTGACATTTACCTTGAAATGAACCTGTTGGCTTGTGAGGTGGAGGACTGATCTTACCTGTGTTTCAGTCAGCATGAGTGAGGTGGCCACTTCAAAGCGTTTGGGTCTGGAGAGGTACTTGTTGAGTTTAAACTGGTTCTCCAGCTCCAGCAGCTGCTGACTGGTGAAGGCGGTGCGGGGCCTTCGGCACTTCCCCAAAAGACCAGACTGAGGGGCTTGAGAAGGAGGAGAAGTTAGTACGTATAGGTTACATTTACAGTTCACATCAGTGGTGTAAGGACTATGTGGATCTTTTAATTAAGTAAAAGTAGTATTAGTATAGACATACTCTGTTACAACTCCTGAATTCAAAAGTACCCTACAAAAATATTAGTGTGTATCATTTAACTGCATTATAATTAGTGATGCATTAATGTGTTCATCACTTTAATGTTGCAGCTGGGTGTAGCTACTTTTTGTACTGCTTAAATTTTGGATTAATAATCTGAAAAGTAGGCTATAGTTACTAATGTTTTCAAATAAATCTAGTGGAGTAACAGTAATATCAGCCTCCAAACTGTAGGAACCAGACTAGAAATATAATAAATGGAAATATTCAAGTAAAGTACAAGTACCTCAAAATTTTACTAAAGTACAGTAAGCCAAATAGTTTAATTTGCTTAGTTGTTAGTGGAGTCTTTATATTTGATGCACAATGTCTGCATGTTTTTGTTTTGATTATTCAAAGGTATTTTGAAACACCTGCCCTTTGCAGAAGATTCATGTATTCAATGTGTCTGATAGATTTGACCAGTAACTTCCACTGTAGTCTTATTTATATAATACCAAGGACATAAGAAGTTCAATGTATGTTTGTGGGAGGGAACAGGCGGACATATGCCCGCACTCTCTGGCCATCATTAACTATAATAGCTTTACTCCAGTTTATTGTTGACGGGGGGACATGGCAGAAGCGGGCGCAGAGGCCATAAAAACACAGGCATGCCATTAACTTAATGAAAATTCAATGAAGGCTTTTGGGATTTTATTGATGAACTACAGAACGTTTTAGGTGTTTGTTTATAGTTCCTTCATCACACAAAGACAATTTCCATCGGGTTGGCGTTTATAGAGGAATAAATGGGCCAAAATTAGAATATGACACAGATAAGCAGTAAACCGAGGCCAGTCTACTGAACAATATGCGACTGCACAATATATATCCGGCATTACCTTGAATAAGTTAGCCTGTTAGAAGCTACAAAGCATAGCTTAGAAAACTTATAAGTTGTAAATTATAATTAGGCTATAGGCCTACTGACTGTGAAATGAATTGAAGACAGAGTGCTTTTTGAAATCCAATCGCTTAAACTTACTCTGTCTGATCTTAGAGGACGTCATCGAAATAATTTTAGGCCTGGATTTTTTATTTAAAAACTCTGAAGCATTTATGAACAAATCATCTGCAGCAAACGTGCTAATCAGTGATATTATTTAAAGACTATATCAGTGGTATCACTTATTCATTTATTCAGAATTATTATTCAGAAAATGTAAAAAAGGAAACACAAATAATCAGGATAACATAATTATTAATTACCCCATTATAGTATCTATAATAGTTATATAGCCTATAGGCTAATATGGTAACATAATAATAATAATAATAATAATAATCGAAACCCATCACACTTGGAGCTTAGTCAAAAATTAACTCAGTTTCATTGTGTTCAAGGAGTTTACACCTCAGCGGTTCAGGTCTTCAGAAGTCAAACTGATCATCATCTTATTCTATCCTGTAAAAACTGATAACGGAAAACGGTTCACAAGCAACACAGACTCGGGTCTGTATTTTTGCACCTGTTTATTTGGCCTTTGAGTTGTCAAGTGTGGATATTTTTTACCTATAAAATAATCGTATCTGATCATACTTACAGCTGTAATCTGGCAGTCTTGGCATCATGATCCCAGCGCGGATCCAGTGCTCCAGTGGCAGAGATCCCGCCATGGCAGCCGCCTTCAGGTGCTCTGGGTAGGTCTGTGTTAGTTGTGTGAAACCGGAGTATGCGAACGCAGGGTGCTGACCACCCAACGCTGATAATGGGTACATGGGTGCAGGATACATGCCGGGAATTGAAGCGAGTCCTGGATGTGGGAAATTTAGGATACCCGGTTTGGGGATTATTCCGGTCTGAAGTTGTACGGACCGCGGAGACGGGGTGTCCGAGCGGCGACAAGAGACCGGGCTTCCTGCAGGGCTGTCGCTGCTCAGACCGGGGGAGAGGTCTCGGCTCCCCCGCTTACTCTCATCAGCGAGCAGGGCGTCAATTCTGAAGTTCCTCGATTTCTCCATGACGGCTTCACTCAGGAGGACAGCAGAGTCTTACAAAGGCGTCAAGCTTGGCGGGTGCGCACCTTTGCCGTGCGTCAGCGCGTAGACAGCGGAGCCTCTTGTCAAAAACTCATATGTTATCCTATCTCAGCACAAGTTATGCTTATCAACTTGTATGTTCATGTTTAATGTCCTTAGAAAAAACATATGACAGACTCTAAATTACTGACGTTTGTATGCGCATCCCTCCACCACTTTCTTTGAATTGTACAACTATACAACACACACTTCGTCCCGGTGTTTAACACTAACTTCACAAACTACAGAGGTATGTCTCACTCCAACAGCCGTCCTTCTCCACCCCTGCAGACCGGTGTGAGCTGGGATTGGCTGGAGGCTGAGCTGCTCTGACGGGACTCTAATCAGCTAATTACTCGCTCGTTTCTCCCCCCAGAAAGCATTCAGAGTGAGGTAATGTCCAACCCCTGTCCCGCCTGCAAACACCTTCAACTGCATCAAAACGCAGAGGTACATTAGAAGATTAGGCAATTGTATTTTCAGTATCTATCTTACTGCCAGATCCTCATACTCACCACAGATTGCAGCCACCTTGCCATTTGAATTACAACGCTTTGATTCTCCAAACTAATTATTAGTGCTGCGAGCATCCTCCACACCTTAGCACTAAATGTTGTTTTTTCAGCAGTCTTAAGGTTATTGGCTACCTCTGATATGGTGACATTACGAAAAAAAATAGGTGTATTTAAATCATTAATATTAACGGCTTGCTTCATTCTCATACTAAGGCCACACCAATGTCATTAAAGTTTACGATCAAGAACTGCACACAAACCGTATAAAAGTGTAATGACTTGGCAGAAGAGGCTATAAGTTAATTGGCCTTCTGCTTTGGTGAACTGATGCTATTTCAAGACCTGAAGCTGAAGTGGAGTCTTTCTTTTCAACATGGTTGAAAACAATAGGCTACAAGTGGTTCCACTTACTCCCTGTTGTTTCATTGACAAAAATATACCCCTGTCAACATAATAATAGGGGTAAGGTTAAAAACCTGCTGCAACCACAATCAGTTTGTTAAAATGTGAATTAAGACAAGGCATCTTATAGGAGACTTTTCATCGAACCATTTTATATTGAAAATCAAAACGCGGCACCAACACGGATACTCAACAAAGGATTAAGCATCATGTAAAAGAAGATACTGAATTTTTTGGAAAATGAAACGTTTCGTCATTGGTCTCTAGACCAACAGGAAACTTCGTTTTTTAAAATAAAGACGCTCAAATTTTAAACAGATTAAGATTAAGAAATGTTGTTAATTTAATAAAAAGTTTAGTTAGCCTATATTTTCGGTAAATTTGGATTTGTCCGCACAAATGTCTCACTGCTGTTTCAGCTATTTCGTCTGGTGGGGAAATACTGAAACCTTATATTTATTCATTATTTGCTTTTGTTGTCCCAAAAGTAATCAAATTTGAATAGGCTATGCTGAGTATAAAAATACTGTAATCCTGGAAGCCTCTCGGTGTGTATTTTCTGGTTGTAAAAAATAGAGGACACCTCAGTGTCCTCAGGCCCGTGTGCGCATCTTCTTTTGCGCTACTTCATTCACCTACCTGTCAAGTCACCAGAGGTGATCATTAACTCGATTGACATAAACTTGATCGCCAACTATTTTGAAATAGTTTAATAGCTTCTCAAATGTGAAAATTGTCTGGTTTTCTTTGTCTTCTATGATTGTAGGTACCGAATGATCAATCGAGAAAATAATGAAATTAACTGATAATGAAAATAATCGTTAGTTGCAGACAATATTAATTATGCTGATTAAACATTCCTTTCAGAAATTAACGTTTTATGCAGAAATGCACGGAGCCGGTGTTCAAGGACTTTCAACAGTGTTTAAGTGGCTTCAACTGTTCTTCACCACAGCAGCCGCCTTCAATAACAAACAGCCAGTGCAGAAGTCTTTGTTTTAGATGTCACAATGTTAAGGGCTGATCGTGTATCTCAGGAAACTGAAATCCATTCTGCAGATGTGAATGAAACAGAATCTTTCCAAAACCCTCACTCATGCTATGTAGCCTAATTGGCTGGTGCGGGTGCGCGTGTGTAGTTGACCTTCAGAAAATTGGAGCGGTCTCACAGATCCGCCCTCTCTCTCTCTCTCTCTCTCTCTCTCTCTCTCTCTCTCTCTCTCTCTCTCTCTCTCTCTCCCTCAGCTCTCTATCAGGCACATTCCCGCCTGTCTCCGGCGCTGATGTAGAGGTAATTTGCTCCTGGGAAATCAGTGTCGCTTTCTGCCTGTTTCTCACAACCTCTTCCCCCTGCAAAGCCTCGTTTCCTTGCTTTTATGATTTGAAAGAAATTTAAATAGCCAGGACAGGGGTAAATCCGTCACCAGGGCCTGTTGACAGGGGTGCACAAATTAAATTGAATTGGTGCCTGAAACTGCGCTCCTGCTGCCAGAGTCAGCTGCCTTCCTCTGAGCGGCACTGCGCACACTGCCATCCTCCTTGCAGAGATCAAATGGTGCTGTATGTGTGCATATAAGCCATGATAGTCATTTTAATATTAAAACAGCAAGATGCCTAAATTCGCTAAAAAGGTTTGTTCAGCCAGTCAACAAAACCTCCAGGCATGTTTTGTTTGCAGGAACTTTATTTAGCCTTATTCAAATTGGTAGAAAGCAAGCAAGTTAGTAAGCAGGGAAGTCAGTTAAATAATAAATAATAAATCGTTTGCAGGCAAACAACATGAGATGCAGGGACTAATGTCTGGATTTACAAATTGCCCTAATGGAGAAATTTGACTAAACACAAAATTTTGAACCAGAGCCCCTCTTCAGGACTGATGCAAAAATTGTCTTAGATGATGCCGAACTTCAGTGTTGCAAATTCAAATTGCAACTGAACTGACATGCAGTTAATCAAGGGATATAGAGGGTATGCCTTGATGTCACTTCCCTTTCCAGTACAGGCTGGACTGAGTGGCAAAACATCTGTTACCATAGCTGCGTTTAGCAAACCGGGAGTGATTATTTGGTCAAATTAAAGGCAGTCGGACTCGACAGTGATCCTTACTGCTTACCAAAGAACCAGTGGTCAAGCTCTTTTAAATGTGTTGTTTGTGTTTTTGCTGATTCAAGCTAACACTGCTGCTCGTCTTTCTGCCACTCAGTGAGCTTAACTGCGTACGGTGACGTCATGCACATACCTGCTATTGGGGCTCCTGGGGCCCCAGGACAGTTGTTGGCAATCCAGCCTTAAAGTGGGCCTGAAGCAATTTTCCCAATTTACAGCCCAATAAACTATTTATCTTTCTCACCTTCCTGCCAGTACTACAGGTGCAATAGGTTTCCTGACTTTGCTGGCACAATATAATCCTTTCTACATAGGAAACCATTTGAGTTTGTGCTTTTTGCCCTTCAAAATGCAAAATGACAAACTGGACATAGGCTATGTGACACAGGTTTTTCAAGACATTTGTAGTTTGACATTTCAAAGTTATTTTTAGCCATGCAAGAGGTGCTGCCATGTCGGTCTAACTTTTAACTTTTCATCTAGCGCCATTATCAGGTCAAAATTTAAATTTGCCCAATATGGTTTATGACCAAATACCTAAATACTACTAAGTGAGTGACTGATAAACACTATACCTGTTAAACATCAGCTTGTTAGCACTGTCATTGTTATCATTTTGATGTTAGCTTTTAGCTAAAAGGCCCACAGATCTGAGGAATCTAATGAAAGCTACACTTAATTGAAAAAGCCTGGTCTGAATTTACATCAACATCAACAACATTAACTCAAACCAGGCTTGAACAATCTTGCATTGTATGACACAGAGAACATAAGCAGCCAAGACCAATCAATTGTTGAAAAAAGTATGGTATGTCACAAAACAAAAGGAAAACTAGAGTGGTGTTTTTCTGAGCGGCAGAACAAACCCTGCTGATGGAACTCTACGAAGAATATAAAGGATAAATCAGCAAAACGGGCAATACTGCCGCAACTAACAAGATGAGGGAAAAACAGCAGATATACTAAATGCGTATAGATATAAATGAGTATAAATTTCAACACTGTAGAAAGTCATGAATTGGACTGGATTTAATGGGGGAGGGTTGTGTTTACAGCTTGAACAAAATTAATGACATTATAAATAACTTCAACACAGTTTTGGCAAACTTTTCTTTCTTAAATAATACTTACTAAGCTTTAAAATAAAAATGGTTACTTTATGAAGGCCAGTTCAGCAGCGTAAGTTACCTTGGTTACTGAACAAGCAATCCTAATGCAACGGATTTCTCACGTAAATTAGCGAGACATAAGAAAATCAGCTAGATGAAATACCCCCCCGCTTGCCTGTCTACAAGACTCTTTGTTTTATTATCAATTTGTGCCACAATTATAAATAGCATATATAGTAATAAGGTCTTATATTGATCCATTAGGGAAAAAACGTTCAGAGGTCAAGGTCAGACACAGTGCAGCACAATGGAACACGTGCAATTTACTGTGTTGCTGATGGACAGTGTGGATGATGCTCACAGCTGAGCCAAAAATTGCAATTGTAAGTTGTAGTTCATCAGATGGATAATCTGATTGCAGGCGGAAGGTCATTTTTAAAATCTCAATGTAAGGCCTCTTAACACTGAACCTCATCTGACCGTCCTAAATTCTTTTTCCCTTCTAATCACACATGTTCTCACACACACATGCCCTCTTGAACCTTTCGCAGAACTCTTAAGATGCAGCGCACACTCTTCACACCGTGAGAGGACAAATGGTTCAAAGAGACCGCCGGCCCTTGACGTTGCACTACAAAGCCAGAGTTTATCGATGAGTTATACGTCAGCCAACAGGAGTTTACTGAAACATTAAAGAGCTTATCAGCAATTACAGGCATATTTTTCAATCATTACCACAGCTCTGAGACAGCTTGCCGTGTCCTAAAACTTGGTGAGCTCTTGTGCTCTCTGTTCACTGGCCTAGTCAGCACATTATCGGCTCCCACTGGGACACTGATCCTCGCCGGCTTATTTAACCTACTGATAAGATACTTCAAGTTGTTAATAGATGAGAACGTTCAGGAGCTGAAATGAAACAAGGTTTCTGGAGCTTAGATTGACAGTCTGATAACGGATCAAATGAAAACATGTCAACACCAAGGGACCACGCAAGATACAGGTTCTTTGATTCACTGTCATCTACAGTAGGCTATCCAGTGTAAGATAACTTTT